CATGATTCCCCCATGCTGGCTGGGGAATTCTGGGAGTCGAAGTCCACTCATCTTAAAGTGGCCAAGTTTGGACAACACTGTCTTAACATAACACGTTGTTAGGCTAACTTTCCACAACATGATGACTTCCTGATATCTTGGAACTGCAGCATCCAGAAGTGCCAGCCAGCTGTTTTAGAATACCAGTCAAGGAAACGGTCACCTTCCATCAATGTTCAGTAAACTACATTGGTCCCCCCGCCCATTGTGCTGTCCTAGGAAGGGAAAGAGTGTGATTATATGTTTAGTAATTCTTTAATTTTGTTGCTTGGTATGTCCAAACCAATTTATTATGTTCATAGCTGCAACTCTGTCTCCAAAGGATTCTAACCTATGCTGTGTAATAATAAGAGATCTTAAAATTGACCTTCAGAGTTTTCTTTATTATCCAGTATAAAAGTGATGTATCATGAGAACCTGCTTTTTAACATACCAATGTATGACTCATTTTCTAAAACATTTTCTGGATGTTGGCTAATCCTACTTTAAACTGTTTTCTGAAATGACCTAAAATCTAACTTCCCCTCCTTAAACATTAGAGAAGAAGAATAAAATTATTGTCACCAAATAGAAGCATTTAGCAATAACATTTTGAATGATAACATTGCAATGAGCTTGATGGTAAATGTACTTCTTGCCTATGTAGTTTTGATTTTGGACCGTTGAATATTTCACCGCTATAATATATAAACATTGCAAGAGCATGCATACTTTCAAACGTGAAACGAATGCAAGAAAATACATTTCCGTAGTCTTAAATTATTTTCTGTGGCATCAAAATCTAAATCAGTAACCGCCTAGTTTCCAGTGTTCCTTTATTAGAACATCAGGACTTAGAACATGTTATATTTATTCATAATGACATTGGGAAATTCTTAACAAACAGATTACACTGAAGTGGCTGCGGTGTTATGAAAATATTGCAGGCATACATCAGTAGGATTATATGTGTAGTCTAAGATTGAAGAGTGTGAATATTATTGTTGCTTTGAAGGCTAACCTGACAAAATAAACTTCAAAAGGTTCAGACACTAATATTAAACTGCCTGAACCTGATCAGGTTATTAAACTGTAACTTATGTTTTTGTGGACAGTGGTGAAACTTGACCACACAAAATATGAGGATCTTTTACAGCAGATTGTAAACAGCAAGAATATGTACAAAAAAGCTTGTGCTGAATTCTTGCATTTGCTTTCTCTTCTCTCTTTGATCACTCTTGAAACTGCATGTGCCCTTTCTTTACCTTCTGTTTTCACTCTGATTTGAATCATATATGCAGTACTCCCTCCGGTTTTGATGGCAGCAGTGGACGTAGCACACCCTCTTCTGTTAGCACTGTTAGCACTATCTGCCCTACTGAGTTGAAAGCTGCAGCTAAGATGGCCCCCAACATTCCCTTAGAAATGGAGCTTCCTGGTGTCAAGATTGTACACGCTCAGTTTAACACTCCTATGCAGATGTATTCAGATGACAATATTATGGAAACACTGCAGGGACAGGTTGCTACAGCACTCGGGGAAACACCCCCTATAAGGTAATGGGAGCCATCATGTGTGCTTAGCATACTGCATGAAGAGTGCTGCCTATCTGCCAGCTATTTGCTTGTTATTCATTAAGGCTTTTAAGCATAGTTACACCATGCCACTTTAAGGGCCTTTCCCAACTGCTCAGTAAAATAACACTACACACGTCCTCAAACCATTGAAAAATCATATTATCTACTATTCCCACTGTCAATCCCTATCCTGCCTCTGGAGCTTCTATTCTATCTTGCTTCTGGATGGTAGTATCTTGATTTAGACTGAGCAGGGCCTGTTAAGCAAAGCCAGTGATGAAACCCTGGCTCAACTGCCCTCCCTCTTTCTCAATATTGCTCCTGGCATAAATCGTAGCACAACTCATCCATGGTGCGGAGGAGGAGAAAGATGCTGTTGTTTCACTGGACAGCCCCCACACCCTCAGACTAGCAGAGGCTTTTCCACTTCCCTTGCCATCTACCCCCAATCCTGGCAGTGGATCCCCAGGCAGAGAGGTCTGGAAGGGTTGGCAGGAGAAGAAGGGAGTTGACTCTTTATCTGTCAGCTCTCTAACCCCACAAAGCTTTACCATGCAACCACCCAGATGTCTGCCAATTTTTGTTCAGACTGCTTATAATCATACATGCTTCCCCAAAAGCCAAAGAAGAAACAGAAAAGAAACAACAAACAGCCACATGGGTTGTGAGGCAGTAAGAAGGAGCTCTCCAACTGCACCAAGTAATCTCCCATTGCCGATCAACTGCTAGTTGGGCTACTTTTAAACACAGGTTCAATGGTCTCCTGGAGGAGTAAAAAATGTGTGCTCAAAAGCAGACCAAGAAAAGCTGACAAGTGTGGAGAGATTGCATCCTGAAATGGTAGAAAGAAAGCTGGCTCTTTCTGGCTTCACTTAATACATTCCCACTGCTGCTCTTCAGCCTGATCCATGTCTCTGAGCCAGGGATCCTGTTGGATCACCTGGTGAGCATGGGGAAGAGCTTGGCTTGGAAGAACCTGACATTTACAGTGCCCGAAGCAGGAGGCCCTGGAAGACTGTGGCCAGGGATTGGGG